GCAGATGTCGCCCTTTTCTGCTTACTAAGGGAATCTACCTTCACCCGGTGGTTGGACCCCTATGAAGGTTCAGGTTTTACTGCCTGAGTAAATTTCTGTTCTCACCTTTGGGCCTGTGGATCTCTTGCCCCCCTACATGCTTTCCTTTCAGGTACATCTGTAATTCCATCCAGGCTTGTTTTAGCTTTTGATATGCCATACTGGGGAGAGGGAGCCAAGGATATATGTTCACATCTTTCTATTACTGTTTTTAGGAAAAGTTTGCTGTTTCTACTGTTTTTCTGATGTTTCTGGTTTTTAAGACTTTTTAGCCAATATAGTTTTCTTAATACTTGTTATAGTGTGATATAATAAAATATATTTATTTGAACTCTTGCCAAAGATGAATACTCTAGGGAGACCCTGTCTCTATAAAAAAAGTTAAAAAATAGCCAGGCATGGTGGCACACACCTGTAGTCCCCAGCTTCTTGGAAGGGTGGGGCAGGAAGATCATGTGAGCCCAGGAGACTTAGGGTGAGGCTGCAGTGAGACCTGATAATGCCACTGTACCTGGGCAACAGAACAAGATCCTGATTAAAAAAAAAAAAAAAAAAAGCAAAAAATCTTTAAAGATCAACATTTAGTCACATTCATTGTGTGAATTTTTCTGATACTCTTCGTAGTTAATTGGAAAGTATAGGTGGAAATACCTTTCAGAATTGCATGTTGTTCTTGTTTCATGATTTATCAGTCTCTCATCAAAGAAATGTTCTGTATGCCTATAACCATTGTGTTTACAATTTTCATGTGTTTTCTTAGGGTGGAATTCCTTGACCAATGGCAACCTAGGTAAGGTTTGGTAGGGATCCTCTTTGAGCTGATCCTCAGTAGTAACAAAATACCAGAGCAAGTACTGTACCCACATGAATGGTCTTCTCATCTCCAGCCTGGCATGTAATTGCTACTGTCACCTACGAGTACTATCTGCCCAGGTTTCTTTCCTTGGGGTCACTTGTGCTATGCCTTGATATAGAGTTAGAAAATGAAAAGAGAATTTTTGAAACTTTTTAAGGGTTTGGCTTCTAAATCTGTCTACTTTGAAAATTTAAAACTGTGAAATTAAATCACCTTTAAAAAAAATTTTTTTTTTTTGAGACGGGGTCTCTCTGTTGCCTAGGCTGGAATGCAGTGGTGTGATCTCGACTCACTGCAACTTCCGCCTCCCAGGTTCACGTGATTTTCCTGCCTCAGCCTCCTGGGTCACTAAGACTACAGGCATCTGCCACCACACCCAGTTAATTTTTTGTGTTTTTAGTAGCGACAGGATTTCGCCATGTTAGCCAGGCTGGTCTCAAACTCCTGACCTCAGGGGATGCGCCTGCCTCAGACTCAACTTTTTTATTTTTTTGTGGGACTGACCCAAATAAGTCTAACATAATAAAAGAATAACAAAAAAGATTTGAAGATTCATTGATTGTAATTATATTTCTGAAGAATTAATTATGAATTCATTTCCTTCATGGTTTAGGACCGTATTGGCCACAGTTCAAGAAATATAATTCTAAGGTGTTGTTATTTTTTTTTAAGTGTATATATAGTTGATTCCCCCTGCATAATCTAGAATTAAATCAATTTTGTGGTTGTGGTAATGGACAAGATCATGATCTAGTGATTCTAGATTGGGGATTACCTATAAAAGTAATGCCTTCTTTACCCCAGATTTGGAGAATGAATTATTCTACACAATGAGTTTTTCAGCAAGTCAAACCTACCTTTTTAAGTATCCAAACTTTTTTTCATTTTTAGGTGATCGCTCTTTCTAAAGTGACCATAAGTTTCCTAGTTTGTTTTTGTTTTTTTTAACTATACTTTAAGTTCTGGGATACATGTACAGAACGTGCCAGTTTGTCACATAGGTCAACATGTGCCATGGTAGTTTGCTGCACTCAACCTGTCATCTACATTAGGTGTTTCTCCTAATGCTCTCCCTCCCCCAGTCCCCCACCCACTGGTAGGCCCCGGGTGTGTGATGTTCTCTCCCCTGTGTCCATGTGTTCTCATTGTTCAGCTCCCACTTACGAATGAGAACATGCAGTGTTCAGTTTTCTGTTCCTACGTTAGCTTGGTGAGAATGATGGTTTCCAGCCTCATCCATGTCCCTGCAAAGGACGCAAACTCATCCTTTTTTATAGCTGCATAGTATTCCATGGTATCTGTGTACCACATTTTCTTTAGTCTGTCATTGATGGGCACTTGGATTGGTTCCAAGTCTTTGCTATTGTGAATAGTGTTACAATAAACATACGTGTGCATGTGCCTTTATAGTAGGGTGATTTGTAATCCTTTGGGTATATGTCCAGTAATGGGATTCCTAGTATTTCTGGTTCTAGATCCTTGAGGAATCACCACATTGTCTTCCACAGTGGTTGAACTGATTTACACTCCCACCAAGAGTGTAAAAGTGTGCCTTTTTCTCCACATCCTCTCCAGCATCTGTTTCCTGACTTTTTAATGATCACCATTCTAACTGGTGTGTCATGGTGTCTCATCGTGGTTTTGATTTGCATTTCTCTAATGACCAGTGATGATGCACTTTTTTTTCATGAGTTTATTGGGCACATAACTGTCTTCTTTTGAGAAGTGTCTGTTCGTATCCTTCGCCCACTTTTTGATGGTTTTTTTCCCTTGTATATTTGTTAAGTTCCTTGTAGATTCTGGATATTAGCCCTTTGCCAGATGGATAGATTGCAGAATTTTTCTCCCATTCTGTAGGTTGCCTGTTCACTCTGATGGCAGTTTCTTTTGCTGTGTAGAAGCTCTTTAGTTTAATTAAATCCCATTTGTCAATTTTGGCTTTTGTTGCCATTGATTTTGGTGTTTTAGTCATGAAGTCTTTGCCTATGCCTATGTCCTGAATAGTATTGCCTATGTTTTCTTTCTAGGGTTTTATGGTTTTAGGTCTTACATTTAAATCTTTAATCCATCTTGAATTAATTTTTGTGTAAGGTGTAAGGAAGGGGTCCAGTTTCAGTTTTCTGCATATGGCTAGCCAGTATTCCCAACACCATTATTAAATAGGGAATCCTTTCCGCGTTGGTTGTTTTTGTCAGGTTTGTGAAAGATCAGATGGTTGTAGATTTGTGGTATTATTTCTGAGGCCTCTGCTCTGTTCCTTTGTTCTATGTATTTGTTTTGGTACCAGTACCATGCTGTTTTGGTTACTGTAGCCGTGTAGTATAGTTTGAAGTCAGGTAGCGTAATGCCTCTAGCTTTGTTCTTTTTGCTTAGGATTGTCTTGGCTGTATAGGCTCTTTTTGTTCCATATGAAATTTAAGGTAGTTTTTTCTAATTCTGTGAAGAAAGTCACTTGATGGGGATAGCGTTGAATTTATAAATTACTTTGGGCAGTGTCGCTATTTTCATGATATTGATTATTCCCATCCATGAGCATGGAATGTTTTTCATTTGTTCTTGTCCTCTCTTATTTCCTCAGGCAGTGGTTTGTAGTTCTCCTTGAAGGGGTGCTTCACATCCCTTGTAAGTTACATTCCTAGGTATTTTATTCTCTTTGTAGCAGTTGTGAATGGGAGTTCACTCGTGATTTGGCTGTTTGTCTATTTGGTGTATAGGAATGCTTGTGGTTTTTATACATTAACTTTGTATCTTGAGACTGCAGAAATTGTTTATCAGCTTAAGGAGATTTTGGGCTGAGATGATAGGGTTTTTAAAATATACAGCAATGTCATCTGCAAACAGAGACAATTTGACTTCCTCTCTTCCTGTTTGAATACCATTTATTACTTCTCTTGCCTGATTGCCCTGGCTAGAACTTCCAGTACTAGGTTGAATAGAACTTCCAATACTAGGTGAGAGAGCGCATCCTTGTCTTTTGCCAGTTTTCAAAGGGAATGCTTCCAGCTCTTGCCCATTCAGTATGATATTGGCTGTGGGTTTGTCATAAATAGCTCTTATTATTTTGAGATACAGTCTGTCAATACCTAGTTTATTGAGAAGTTTTAGTATGAAGGATTGTTGAATTTTATCAAAGACCTTTTCTGCATTTATTGAGATAATCATGTGATTTTTGTCATTGGTTCTGTTTATGTGATGGAGTACGTTTATTGATTTGTGTTTGTAGAACCAGCATAGCATCCCAGGGATGAAGCCGACTTGATCGTGGTGGATAAACTTTTTGATGTGCTCCTGGATTCTATTTGCCAGTATTTTATTGAGGATTTTCAAATCGATGTTTTTTTGTGGTGTCTCAGCCAGGTTTTGGTATCAGGATGATTCTGGCCTCATAAAATGAGTTAGGGAGGATTCCCTCTTCTTCTGTTGTTTGGAATAGTTTCAGAAGGAATGGTACCAGCTCCTCTTCGGAGCTGAATTCACAGAATCCTGCTGTGAATCCATCTAGTCCTGGGCTTTTTTTGGTTGGTAGGCTATTAAATGCCTCAATTTCAGAACTTGTTATTGGTCTGTTCAAGGATTCGACTTCTTCCTGGTTTAGTCTTGGGAGTATGTATGTGTCCAGGAACGTATCCATTTCTGTGAGATTTTCTAGTTCATTTGCTTATTCTCTGATGGTAGTTTGTATTCCTGTGGGATCAGTGGTGATATTCCCTTTATCATTTTTTATTGTGTCGATTTGATTCTTCTCTCTTTCCTTCGTTATAAGTCTGGCTAGTGGTCTGTTTTGTTTGTCTTTTCAGAAAACCAGCTCCTGGATTCATTGATTATTTTTTTTTTAAGGGTCTATCTCCTTTAGTTCTTCTCCAAAGGGTCTATCTCCTTCAGCTCTGTTCTGATGTTTGTTATTTCTTGTCTTCTGCCAGCTTTTGAATTTGTTTTCTCTTGCTTCTCTAGTTCTTTTAATTGTGATGTTACAGTGTCGATTTTAGATCTTTCCCACTTACTCCTGTGAGCATTTAGTGCTATAAATTTTCCTCTAAACACTGCTTTAGCTGTGTCCCAGAGATTCTGGCACGTTGTTTCTTTGTTCTCACTGGTTTTAAAGAACTTATTTATTTCAGCTTTAATTTCGTTATTTACCCAGTAGTCATTCAGGAGCAGGTTGTTCAGATAGAAATGATCCCTAAAAGTATAGTTTTTCCTAGTTTCTTTAAATGTAGTTTACTGAACACATTTTTTTTCATTTTTCTCTCCTTTTTAGATTGAGACACTAAAATTCACCCACTGTGTTCACCCATTTAAGTGTACAATTCAGTGGTTTTTAGTATATTCACGAAGTTGTACAACCATGATTACAATTCATCTTAGAACATTTTCATCTCCTCTAAAAGAAGCTCCATACCCTTTAGCTCTTAGTTTCAATCTTCTCTTTTCCCTGAGCCCTAAGCAACCATTAATCGAGTTTCTGTTTCTATAGATTTGTCTATTCTGGTTTCAAATGGAATCATATAACATTTAGTCTTTTATGACTGACTTATTTTCATTAGTATGTTTTCAGGGTATTCTTTCACATTGTAGCATGTATCAATACTTCATTCCTTTTTGTGGATGAAGAATCTGTCGTATGGATATGCCGCATTTTGTTCATCCATTCATCTTTTTTTGGACATTTGGATTCTTCCCACATTTTGGCTATTTTGAATAGTGTTGCTGTGATCATTTGTGTGCAAGTTTTTGTGTGTGTATATATAGCTTTATTTCTAATGGATATATACCCAGCAGTAGAATTGCTGGATCAAATGGTAACTCTGTTTAACTTCGAAGAACCATTGGACTGTCTTCTAAAATGGCTATAACATTTTACAGTCCTGTCAAAAGTGTATGAGGGTCCTGATTTATTTTCTTTTTGATTATAGCCATCCTAGTAGGTCTGAAGTGGTATCTTACTGTGATTTCAATTTGCGTTTCCCTGATGACTGATTATATTGACCATCTGTTAATGTACACATTGGCCATTTGTATCTCTCTTTTTTTTTCACTTATATTTCCCTTTCTTCTCTTGTTCTAAGACTGTGATCTTATTATTAGAATGACTTTATTGTTTGTTTAGATTAATTTTCTGTCTTCAGATTATTCCAGCACACAATCTTTTGGCTTCTATTGGAAGACTCCTAATGAGGGGAAATTTACTATTAAGAAATTGGCACTGTTTTTGAAGAATTTCAGTTGTTAGGGGCTTCTTTTTGTATTGGGCCAAAATTTATTTCACTGTTTTGGTATTGTTATTGTTTTCTAATCTGTTATGGTTTATGTTTTTAGGCCCACATAGACTAAGTTCAATTCTTTATATCCTTCAGAGGTTTTAAGACAGCTTTCAAGTCTCCTCGTCTTCAGGCCAAATATTTCTAATTTCTAAAATTGTTCATCTTCTTCACCATCAAGTCCCACTACCTTTCCCGTCATTCTGTATAAACAAATTTCAGTTTCTCAACACCTCTTTTAGAGTATGGCCCTTGGAATTGAACAAACTATTTGAAGTATAGTGTGACCACTGCAGAGTAGGACTTTTCTCTCTTTTGAACATTATACTTGTACTGATTGTGGCTTAACATTACCTTAACACCTCCTGCAGCCACATTACAATGTTAATTCTTCTTTAACTTTCAGTGAACTAAGATCCTGTCTTTTTTATACATTCTGTCAATGTCTGTTCTATACTAAGTTCAGTACTTTATGTGTACCCATTTTAAATTTCATTTTATTTTATTCAACATCTTATTCCTACATTTAGAATTTTGGGGGGTGTTCCGAATGTGATATCTGGTGTGTGAACTGTCTTTCATTGACCCTGTCATCAGGAAATTTGATTAGCAGGCTTTTTTATACCTTGAATCAACCATAATGAAAGTGGCCTATAGAACAGTGTCAGAGACTGACATTGCTGCTAGAAACTTTAGTGGAGATTGATATGGATCCATTTATACATGGCTTTGACTAAGGCACTTAGTAATAATAAAAGTAATCATTGTTACATACAGCACTCTTACTATGTGCAGTGCACTGTGCTAAGTATGTGAGACACCTTATTCTATTTAGTCCTCACCATGACCCTATAAAGCAGGTACTATAATTATCTGCATTTTCTGCATGAGAAAACCAAACCTTAGGGAAGTTAATAATTTGATCTGAAGTTATACAGCTAATAAGTGGCAGGGCAGGGTTTGAACACTATCTTATTCTAAAATTCATTCTTAAACTTTACTATTATGTGAAAACCCACCTTATTTGAATTTATGCCTTATTTTTCTTATCTGTTTATTCATATATTAAGCAAATAATTATTAAGTTCTTACTATGTGCCAGGCACTGTTCTGCCTCCAGGATACATCAGTGAGCAAAAACAGATACTTCTTGCTCTTAACGAAATTTATTCTACCACTGGCAGATTTAGGAAATTGTGAGCATAGAATGAAGGGGTATTATTGGTTTATAATTTTAAATAGGGCGGCAAGGGTAGGCTGTATTGAGAAGATAAACATTTGAATAAGCACTTTAAGTTGGCAAGGGAATGAATTACTCAGATAACTGGAAGAAAAGATTCCTGTTCATTCCTCCTTAAGATTATTCTGCAGTGTTTAAAAGGCCAGAGATCATTCCTTACGATGCTTTTTGGTTATTTTAGGGAATCTAAAATATACTGTCTGGGAAAATACTTCTTCATCTCTTCATGTCCTACGTATTGTAGCCTTAAGATAAACTGTTGTTAGCTTATACCTAAATAAGAGGAAAAACCTCATACAGGCTAAAGGAAGTTTTATTTTAAACCTTTCTTTCCCATTTGATAACTTCTTATTTGATGAAATAACACATTTCTCCTTTTTTCAAGTGGGGAGCTGGAGAATCCATGAAAAGAATATTTCTAGTTATTTGTCCTCAATAAGTTTCTTCTTGAATAGTTTGGAATTCCCTAGAGGACATAATGTGTTGAGTCCATTTTGAGAAGCTATATATATATATATTTAAAAAGTCGAATTTAAAGGAAATAGAAGAAAAGCCAATGAAATAGTAAACAAACGTATACTGGAGAAAAATCAGCAAAGCCAAAAGTTGGTTCTTTGAAAAGATTAGTAAAATCCTAGCAAGATCAAAAAAAGTGGAGAAAAAAGACAAACCAATAACAAGAATGAAAAAGGGACATCACCATATATCTTAAAGAATCAAAAAATTAATAAGTAGATCTGATGACTAGCCAAGTAAATGGATTATTTGGAACAAATGGAAAATTTTCTCAAAAAAATACAGTATGCCAAAGCTGACAGAATAGGAAACAAAATCTAAATAGTCCTGTGCCTATTAAAGAAATTGAATCTTTAATTAAAAACCTTTCTGCATAGAAAATATCAGTTCCAGATAGCTTCACTGGTACATTCTTCCATTTGTTTGAAGAAGAAATAACACTAATCATGTACAAACTCTTCTGGAAAATGGAAAAAGAGGGAACACTTCCCAGTTCTTCTTTAAGGCCAGAATAATCTTGACACTAAAGTCTGGCAAGAATGATACAGAAAAAGAGAGTTATGAACTGGACCAACTGAGATCAGTTCAGTCCGGCCCAGATCAGCTAGACCCCCACAGACTGATGAGCTAAATAAATGTTAATGTTTTATGTCACTGAGGTTTGTGGGGTATTTGTTATGTAGCACTATCCTATCAATAGGTAACTGATACAGATAATAATATTCACTTCATAGAAGTTGCTTTGAAACATAAATGAGAAAAAAATGATACAAAAAAGGTCAGTTGGTCGGAATTAATAATATTCATTAAAATATGGAGGGGGGGAGAAAAGCCCTTAGCAAATCCAATTTAGCAACATAAAAAAATAATAGTATGTCATGATGAAGTAGGATTAATTCCAGGAATGTAAGGATGGTTTAATTTTGGAAAAACAGTGTAATTTGCCATATTAACAGAGAAAAGGTGGAAAAAAATAATTATATTAACAGAGGGGGAAAATATTTGACAAAATTTAGCAGTCAGTCATGATAAAAACCTCTTAACAGCTTTTAATAGGAGGGAACTTTCTTAATCTGTTAAAGAATGCCTACAAAAAGCCTATGGCAAATATCAAACTCAAATATTTTTAATCTTTGCGTATTTGTTCAATGTTTTCAGCCCATAAGTTTGTACATAAGTTCATAAATAATGTATTTTTAAAAGTAGTAATCACAAAGCAATAGATGCTACATTTCATGTGCTATCCTTCACTATGATAACATTGATTTCTACATGTGAATTTCTGATAGCATTAGTTAATACTCTCCTGTGTACCTAAAATATACATTCATAGAAGTTTGATTTAGTTACTTAAATCTTGCTTACAACTAACACTACTTTTGTTGATGGAACCATATCAACCAAATTTTGGACTGTGAATTAAGAAGTGTAAGTTGGGTCAGGTGCAGTGTCTCATGCTGTAATCCCAGCACTTTGGGAGGCTGAGGCAGGCAGATCACTTGAGGTCAGGAGTTCAAGACTACCCTGGCCAACATGGTGAAGCCCCGTCTCTACCAAAAATAAAAAAATTAACCAGGTGTGGTGGCAGGCACCTGTAATCCCAGCCACTCGGGAGGCTGAGGCAGGAGAATCACTTGAACATGTGGCGGAGGTTACAGTGAACTGAGATCATGCCACTGAACTCCAGCCTGGGCGACAGAGTGAGACTCATCTCCAAAAAAAAAAAAAAAAAAAAAAAAAAAAAGTGTGAGTTGTAGGTCAGTGGTATGTTCTCCATTTTATATCCCGATGACTTGCTTGCACATTTAGTCAATGGAATGTAGATAGTGGGCCTGCACATCATAGCTTCAAGGAAGTCTGAGAAATAAGGTATTGAGAATTCTGCTTTTAGAAGTTGAGATTCACAATTTGGGGAACGATTAAAATGTTGAGATAGTATTCATACTTTGGTAGGCCACAAATAACTGATGTTTACTAAATTGTCCTATCAGTCTCTAAGTCTCCCTCTTATGAAATCATGCAACTAAGGTGGAGGCAAAAATAATGGAAAAGAGAGAATGGAATGGAAACATACCTACTTTAGCAATACTAATCTATTTCTTTGTGTATTCCTATTCATGTGTTACATTAACAATTTATGATATTTGGAATTC